CCAAACCTTTGCTGAAGACAAGTTTGTTTATTTTGGAGTAGTAGACACGCTGTCCATGCCAAAGTCTTGTCCAGTCAAGTCTTGTCAAATTGTAATGGGTCTGTGACAGCTAAATCCACAGCATATGTAGGAACTTGGTTTGGGGCTTGAATAAGTCTGTTGGGCAGTAGCCAGCTGTCTAGTGCATGCGTGCAAAGAGGTTCGTAGGGTTCAACCTGTTTTTGTTATACTCATACACTAACTGTATGAGTATAACACAAACTTGGACAACACTACTAGTAAGGACTACATAACAGAATAAAAAGCAGAATAAGCGGAATAAAAACTCCTTTGTGGCACAGTCCTGACAAACCTGAACAGTATAAGGGTGAGGGATTTACTGCAGGCCTGTTAGTAGAGGGTTCCCTTTGATTGTGGAGGGTTTTCTTTTTTCTGGATACTCAAGGTTTGTGTCATGTTGTTGCATCTTTCCAGATTCATTGTTTTATTCTCTTTCACGTCTGGATGTGTCACTTAGATTAATAACTTCAGAGCAGCCTTCTTAAAACATACAACCTGTCATTTTGTGGCTTATTTTCATTTTATTTTTCTTTTAGCCTAAAATCAGTTGGATGAAATCTTATTAAAAGCAGTTTGCTGAAGTTGGACTAAAGTGCTCATTCTTGGTCTTGACTAAACTAAAATGTTCAATCACAACATTTTTGTCAATTGATTTTCTGATAGCTAAAAAAAAAATTCTAAAATGTTTCTGTCAACTAAAATTAGACTAAAAATGTTTGTGGTTTTCTTTTTCCTTTTGACCAAACACATCCAGAGTTTTAATCAACAAAAACAAAAGAATCTACATAATGAGGTTTAGTCAATATGACTAAAACCAACATGCTGACAAAATGAACACTAGCTGCAGGAGGCTGCTCTTTTCAAATACATTATACAATATCTATTCTCACAGTTGTTCAATGATCAGAGTAATGGATCAGTCATAAACTTCCCCTGGGAGAAACATCATAACTGCACCTGTAGAGCTCCTCCACAGAGGATGCATCCAGAGTAATGATGCTCCAACAGGGGCAGAGTGGAGCATTTCACGTTTCACTTAATGATTCATGAAGACACATATTTTATTTTACAGGGTCGTAAACATCACCGCGTTCGCTGATATGTTAGTGTTGCTTAGGATTAATATCAGGTTTTATGAGTGCATAAATAAAAACTGACAGCTCTGTGTTAAAAATCAAACGCAGGTGAAGAGCACAGGATGTTTTGGTCGGTTCAGTCTGATTCCAGACACTTATCACTCGTCCTCTCCACTCTGCCTCCTCTCACGATACGTTTTGCATGGATGTTTTTGCTGCAGTGAAGGCAACAAACACAGGTCAGGTCCAATAACCCTCAACCACACAAAGACTATGACACACTTTGATAAAGTAGCTGAGGGTTCAGGGTCCAAAACAAAAGCAAATTAAACACCTTCTATTTTCTATGGCCAGACAGTAACTAATGGAGGCTGCAAGCACAAGCTGCTGGAGGTGGTTTAGCCAGGCTAACATTAAAACTCCATTTTATTGCTTTTCTGCCTGAAATTCAGCTGCTTGTTTTCTTCAACTATGCAGGTAAACCACCAAGAAAAGGCAATAATCACTAATACCAGACCTGGAGGTTAATCCCACCCTCCCCTAATCTTACTGAACTCTGGATGAGGCAAACTGGGAAATTACATGTATCTACCCAGATTAACTTTATGCATCAATTTAAAAAAAAAAAAAAACAGACACACATAATTTTTGTTATAGCATGTATTTGTAATTGAGATTTCACTTTCTGGCCTATGGGTCATTTCAGAAAATAGACAAAGAGGGATTTGAAACGCAAAGTAGATTTCCACGTTGACAGTACTCTGAAAACATTTCAGCTTTAAAGCTTAAACGCTCTCATTGTCAAGACTGAATTCAAATGATTGATGAGTGCCGTAATACCATATTAGTATTTCCCTACACACATTTCTGTTGAATCTTTGCTCCAATTGGTTAATTTACTAATATCTGTCTTGAAACTTTGCAAGCCCTGAAAGGCAAGTGAAATTTTTTCTCGCCAGTATAACTTTTAAAAACCAACTGTGAAAGGCAAAGTGATTTTTTCAGTGATGCAATTCTGACAGTTCTGACAATTCTGACAGTCTGTAGAGGCTGACGAAGAAAGCTCTATTGAAATGTGATTTTTTTTTTCTTCAATGATCTGTCTACTTTAATATTATATTTTCACACATATTTTTTTATACATACTTACAAATATACAAAGTGTCTTTGTGTTTTGATATGTAATGACAATAAAGTATTTATTCACCTATCTATTGAATGGATTTCCCTAATGAACCTGGGTACTGGTGTGGGACCAAGCAGCAACTACAACTGGCTGAGAGGTGAAGCCAAGTGACTGAAGGTGTGTTGAGACCGAACCTAAAGTAAAATTTAGAGACAGTGTATTTGAATTCAAGTCAATGCACAGACTCAAGTGGATGCAGATTCCACCTGTGTGGGAAAAATTGAAGCAAAGATGCGTCCAATGAAAATGCTTCAACTACAGCCAAAAAACAAAAAACAACAACAACAAATTCATAAAGACACAAAGACAGGAAAAAGGAATCTGGACGAGTTCTTAGTAACTTTAGAGATCAACCAACAGCTGAGTTGTTGACAGGTCACAGACACATTCCACGCACTAGCTACAGCTAATATCAGTCAGTACGCTGCCTTTTTGGCCACTTAAACGCAGACTGCAAAACTACCACAGTGGTCAAATTCATGCAAGTAAAACAAGCCGAACATAAGCTCTGCAAACAGTCAGGACACACCTCGTGGCCACAGCTCGTCTAATGGCCATCACAGGTGAAAGCTATGAGCATCAATGTTCAATGTGTAGCTAGTATTGGTTTGATTGACAGGTGTCTCCAACTATTAGGGTTAGGTGTGGCAGTTGGTACTCACTTGCTGTATCTCAGTTCCACCCTTTTGCCTAAATTATGATTTTCTGGAGCCAAAATGAAGGTGGCATTGTTTTTTATACAGACTGCTGGACAGAAGACAGAACTGGATCCACATCGTGCAGAGGGAGGAATTCTATTCAATAATTCAAAACATGAAACCTATAGTTTTTAATTGTTCTCACTGGTTTTAGATGACGTAACTGACCAGTCCAGTTTTCAAAGAAGGAAAAGAAACGTTGTGTTATAATTAAAATAAAAATGAATTTTCTGTTAAAATGAAGTATGTTAAGGAGATTTAGTCAACACAGTGAAAATCATTTTGCACTTCACTGACTTTAAGCTCAGGCAGCTGCACCCACACACACACACTTTCAGTTACACAGGCATATGCACCCATGCACTCAAGCCTGCAGACTCTGGCTGTGAAGCGCAGACGCTCACACACATTCAACATACCTGTGAGGATACACAGAAATCTGGCATTAGATGTGACTCACTTGGAAACGCTTGATCCAACATCTGACATCTGCGGCTTTAATGGCTGCCTGCTAAACCAAAAAACTACACATCATGATGGTAAGCCAGGTCCTATTCAGTGAGTAGAAAACTATTTTAAAAATTCTCTTTGGTATGTTAAGGTTGAATTTTTTTAAACTCTAACATGGTTTTAATCATTTTGGGTCCAGTTGACCCCTTGGAGGGAATAAAGCTTGTAAAAAAAATTGCGAATGCACAAGTGAGTCTGGATCAATAAAGCCTTGCAGCATGTGCAGAGGGTTATTACAGATGGTGAGAGTGTGATAGCACCAGAGGTGCCTGAGCTCATTAAGAAACAGGACCATACTCCGGTGCAGAGCAGGGAGAGGGGAGCAGTGAGGGGAGGGAGGAGGGGACGACGCAGAGACTGGACGGAGATTTTTCACCTGGGTGTCACTGAGATCTGATGATTCGCTGCCGCCGGAAAATAGAAAAAATTTTAAATCCTTTCTTTGTGCGTTTGGACGGCAACAGAAGATCTGTGTTACATTAGTGAAAAGACATGGTAGCATGTAAATAATAAGCTTGGGGGTTGTTCAGAGGCTGCAGGCTGCTGCTCCACGCAGGAAACAGGCTGGACTGTGGCGCCATCTCCCTGTCAGAGCATCTTATTTCTCTGTTGCAGCTAATTGAATGGAATTTCTGCTGGCGGTGGAAATGCAGATTTATAGACTTGGGATCCACCAATATAGGTTTCTCATGCCAATATTTTGTGCAGACATGCAGTTTTCTTTAAATATGACTTGTAGCATGCCAACAGATTATAGCCATGAAGGGTTTCCTGCAGCTTGAGTCACGGTCGAGGCCAAAAACCATTGAAGAGACCATAAAGATCATCATGATGCGTTGCAATGGACCTATTTAATTGAAGGCCAAAATACCTCACTGATTTTAATGTGCAAAGAAAGCAAAGTTTCATTTCATCAGATTTTCTTAAACCCTTTCTATAACTGTTCAAGGAAAAACCTTCATCGCATCAGAAGTGAACAATATGACAGATTTACCTGAAGGACACTTTTGTGCCAACACAAATCTGAGCCTTTCATGAATTTGATTTCAATTTACTTTTTGAGACATGCAGTAGCACAAGGACATTGCACTGTGAAACATACAACTCTCATTGCTGTTCATTCGTAAAATAATTTTGCAAACGTGCATGTTTTAGTATAGAACAGACTGTAGTTTATCTGAGACAAACGTTTGCCTTTCCTGATGAAACAACTCCTCCAGAAAACATTTCTTTTCAGATAATTAGAAAACTACTGATCTGTAAATTGGGCACTTTCTTGTTGTTGCACAATATAAAAGCCACAGTCTGAGTTACAACACGGGTTCAAGTTTCATTCCTTCTGGATGAAGTCACTGTGCTTACAAGGCACGAGAGGAAAATGTGCTGTACTCAAACACTTGCAAGAGGCGACTGCAGGACAAAAACACCACGTTTTTTTCATTTTTTATTTCATTTATCACTTTTGGGGTTTATTTTCTAACATGTGTTTTCTTGCACTCACATAATTTCTATGACTCAGCTCATTTTTAAAAAAAAAAAAAACCAACAACCTTACGTGACACTGAACCATTATTCTGTCTTTATATCAGCTCTGGTTTTCTGAACCTGCTGCCAAACCAGTGACGTTACCAGCCCAGTTTTGTAAATATGTACACAGACACAGCAACACAGTTTGAGCATAATCCCATAAAATCTACCACAGCCTGACAGACACTGGCATAAAGAGCAGAAACTCCCACCATGTACACTCTTATTACCCATGTGCTCATAGTTGCCTGCGGCCGCACACGGTCTGTGTATAAAACTGTCACTTTCTAAGCTCAGAGTGAAAGGAACATTGGCCTTAAAGACGCTGGGATGAACCCACTTTATAATTTGTGTCACTGTTCAATCGATTCAGGATGTGCTCTTTTTTTCAAAATACAACATCCTGCCAAAACAGGTCTTGCATTATGCGATCTATCAATACAACGGAGTGGATTAGTAGTAAATTGGCTCCCAGGTGAGTTCATAAAGTCAAAACTTAAACAAATAAAGAAAACTGAACACAGAAAAAAACAGACTAGTCCTCATCAGTTTTGCTTTTCTTCTTCTTTTTCTTCTTCTTTCCCGAGCCTTCCACTACATCACCATATGAAGTGTCTATTGGTTCACATTTCACTGTTGCGTCTTCCACCTTCACTCTCACACTGGGCTCCAGTCCCTCCTCCACCTCCTCTCGCTCCCTGTCCTTCTTTTTCTTCTTCTTCTTCCTCTTCTCCTCTGAAACATCTTCCTCTTGGAGGGGCAGTTCCATCATCACTTCGTCCTGAATGTCAGCTGCAGGTTCCTCTTTCACGCTCACCACCTCCTCTCGCTCTGTCTTTATGCGCTTTTCTTTCTTTTTCTTCTTCTTCTGTTTCCTCCCTTCCTCGTCCTCTTCCTCATGCCCTGTTTCTTCTATGAATCTTTTGACTACCAGAGGGCAGAGGGTTGTAGATGAGGGCCCGAAGGCGGCTCCGTCCACCTCATTCTCGGCCACACAGGTCAGCGTGGGGGTCTTACAGCCGAAGGGGTGGAATCGCTGTTTCAGCCCCGGTGGTATGGCGGGTGCTGGAGCAGCGGGGATCACCTGAGGGGCATAGGTCGCACTGCTGCCTCCATAGTTCTCACACACATTTAGCAGGCCTGAGAACGTAGGACCAAAAACGACACCACCTGATGACTGTTCGTCACTGGTGAGCAAGCGGAGCTCTGAGGGACTGTGGGAGGATGCCAGGATGCTGTAGATCTGCTGGCCACTCCCAGACTTGGCTCCGCCTGCAGCAGTGGGAACCTTCAGGGTCTGGAGACCGGAGAGCGGCACCTTGATGCCACTGAAACTGGATGGAGGGAGTAGAGGCAACGTTAGGTACCATTCAATCCAAGTGGGAAAAGTTTATTCAACTCTACACCAACTACATCATTTTCTCAGACTGCTGTTGAATTTAGGGAAAACTTTCTGAAGCCTCAGCATGAAGCCCATCTCCAGCTCCACCTGCTGGACGCAACCGACACAAACTGTCAGTTACTTCATGTTGAGTCTGTCTTACCTCTTATGTTGCCACACACAATCACTGCAGAGATTGTTTAAAGTATGTAAATAAAGAAAGAAGAAATGACACACTCCCCTGCTTTGACTCACACACAGACACACACATTCATACATATGCGGTGCATTAAGAAGGAGTTCAGAGCCCTTCAGTTTTTCCCATTTTGTTATGTTGCAGCCTGATGCTACTCTCACCCATCTACACTCAGTACCCCATAATGACAAAATGAAAACAGAATTTTAGAAATTTCTGCAAAATTATCAATGAAGAAAAGCTGAAATATCACATTGACAGAAGTTTTCAGACACTTTGCCCTAACACTTGACATGTAGCTTCAGATGTCTCCCATTTCTCTTGATCATCTTTGAGATGTTTCTACCTGCAGTAAATTCAGCTGATTGGACCTGATTTGGAAAGGCACACACCTGTCTATATAAGGTCTCACTGCTGACAATGTATATCAGCACAAAAACCAAGCCACAAAGAGGACAGGACTATGTTGAGGCACAGATTCGAGGGAAAAGAAAATTCTGCTGCATTGAAAGTTGCCAAGAGCCCAGTGGCCTCCGTCAATTTTAAATGGAGGAAGTGTGGAAAAACCAGGACCCTTCCTAGAGTTGGCTGCCTGATCAAACATGAATAATTGGGGAAGAAGGGCCGTGATAAGAGAGGTAACCGATTTGTCACTCTGGCTGAGCTCCAGAGATCCTGTGTCAAACTTCCAGACTTTTTATATATAAATTCTAGCATAAGGCTGCAGAATTTTTTTTTTTAAAATTGAAGGGGTCTGACCACTTGAATGCAAGTGTTCAGACATTGTGTGTGTGTGCGTGTGTGTGCTTGCATATGTGCGTACATGCGTGCGTGTGTGCATACCATTAAAACCAGTCTACTGGTTTTTACTGTTGTTGCTGAAATGACGTGTGAAAGTTTGGCTGCACATTAGAGACAGAGACAAGGAGACAGATGACGGAGTGAGGACTGCACCCACCATTCCGGATTAAAGCTGGCAGGAGCTTTAATGAGCCATAACTCATTCTTGTTGTTCTTCAGACTCTCTGTTAGAGTGCTGCTGCATGGCTTATGGCAGAAAGACACAAAGTCAGCAGGACACTGGTACCTAGTGGTCCTCTTATCTGTGGATCCAAACAGCACACGTTCATCAGTAAAATAACATTGAGCAGTAGAATTACACAGAACAGGCCAAAGGATTAAATCTGAATAAAAGTTGTGTGTGTGCTCACTCTTTATTGGTTTAACTTTCAGTATCAATACAACCTTGTTTGTGTGGTTCCTCAGTGAAGTGGTGCCAAATAGTTATTGTAAGAAACACTAATGACAGGTAAGATTTTTATGTTGTCTATCCTTAGTTTGAACAGTGGATGAAAAACAGCTAAGCACAACATCGTTTTTAGCCAGAACTAGACTGGTTACAATTTTTGCTTAAACTAATCTAGACTAATAACACATGATAATAATTATTTATGTAAATAAAAGCCATTGACCTTAACAAATGTTGCTCAGTCAGCCACAGCCTACTGCACTGTGTATTGTTTTACCGCATTGTATTTCTCAGTGAAACTGAGTCTCACTGAAATAAGCATATCAGCCAGCCAACACTAACTTCGTGGAATCAATGAGGGTGAACTTACCCGGTTCTTTTTGCTTTACCGGTGGTTTTGTAACTGGACTGTCCGCTTCATCCTCGCTCGATGAAGATGATATGTCTCTTGGCATTTTTATGTTTTAAATTAACATGAAAGCACTGAAATTAAAAGTTTTCTACCTCGAAACGCATGGCTATGGGGGACGCACATGTGTTGACACAAAATGAACTTTGACCTTTAATTATTTCACTTCCGTGTCAGTTTGGTTGTAGTTCTACGCCCAAGCTCGATTAGTGTGTTTGCGTTGACAAAAACAGGTAAGGAAACTCAAACACCCATAATGCCCCTCGTATGGTTACGTAATGTTCCAGCGTCCGTTGGAGAAGCAGTTGACAGCAGCGAAGAGCAGGCCGAAGTGGGTAAACAAAACAAACATATGAGAAAAGGAGCGAAAACAAGCCAGAGGTTTGAGCTAATTTTATATCTGTAGAATGTGTAACATTGTTCTGAAACGGCGTGAGGCCTGTTAACGTAGCAAGTCGTTAGCAAATAGAGGGCGTGCACCTGTCAAAGCGAAATAGGTTAAAACAGCTAACGTGTGCTAGCACGTTAGTAAGCTAGCTGGCTCGTTGAACCCGCTCAGGTTAGCTACCTGGCCAGCCATGTCGTCCCCCTCCTCCTCCAGGCGCCAGTGGTGCTACCTGTGCGATCTGCCTAAGATGCCCTGGACTGTGGTATGGGACTTCAGCGAGGTGGTTTGCCGTGGCTGTGTAAACTACGAGGGAGCTAATCAGATTGAATTCCTGATAGCGAGCGCCCGACAGCTGAAACGAACTCACGGGATGCAGGACGGTAACGTCAGGTCACCTGGTCCCTCGCCCAATAAACATGGCACATCTGGCAGAGGAGAGGCAGCGGCTGACGGAGGCAGGCCCCACGTCGACCGCTTCGACAGAGGAGGAAGAGGAGAAAGCACCGGGTCAGCTGTTCGTGTGCCGCCAAACGGGCTGCACCGTGACGGGCAGCCGCCTCAAGAGGTGAACCGTCAGAGCCCCAGCGGCAGCCGGAGACCCATGCTTGGAGCTGCCATCCCACCCAGTCTAGTAACTCAAAGTATCGCAGGGATTCCCCATGGGCTACTTGCGGGCATGCCAGCGGGCCTGACCGCCAGGACAGCCCCCATGAGCAGCCCTATGATCTTCCCAGCCCCGGTGCTGGCCGAGATGAGCCGCAGACAGCTGGGAATAGGTATGGGGATAGCCCCATTTATCACTCCAGAGCTGGAGCGAGAGCTCAGTTCGTCCCAGAACCAGCCCAAGACACAGACGCAGGTCCACACAGCTGTGGCTGGCAGCAGCGCCAGCAAAAGTACAGGCCTCCCTTCTTCGTCCTCCTCCATGGCGGGAGGTGTGAGCCAAACGAGCCCCAAGCCTGCCTCATCTCCAGCCAGGCAGCCACGTCCCCTTGCTGCAAGGTCCGGAGGGGAGCCCCTGGGCTCCAGTACCTCAGCAGAGGCGGCCACCACAGCTGCAGCATTACCCCACAGTGGTGCCTCTGAGTTGGGTTCAGCATCCACCAGCAACACCCATTCAACCGGAAACCCTCTGTCCTGCACCTTGTGTCACGAGAGGCTGGAAGACACACACTTTGTTCAGTGCCCATCAGTGCCAGGGCATAGGTTTGTGTGGATTCATGTTTCCATGAATAAATGCTTTGTTTTTTAAGCTTTTAGTGATTCCATGTAAGCAGTTTAAGCCTGCATGTCAGGCTCTGGTCATTTGTTGATGATTTTTTACATTTTATAGACTAAATCAGCATGTAGTTACTTCAACAAATAATTGATTTATACTGGAATAACTATCATTTGTTGGTATCACTTTATGCCTCACAGAAAGTTGTAATAACCTGTCTTTTCTACCTCCACCAAATGTAGGTTCTGCTTCCCCTGCACCAGAGTGTACATCCAGAGCCGGCGGGGAGACGGGGAAGTGTACTGCCCCAGCGGAGAGCGGTGTCCGTTGGATAACTCTCCCAACAGTCCCCCTTGGGCCTTCATGCAGGGAGAGGTCTCCACCATACTGGGCACTGCTGGAGCAGGAGCTGCATCAGCTGCTGCATCTGGAGCTGGGTCAGGGCCTGGAGCTGCAGCTGCATCTGCATCTGGTGCCGGAAGCGGAACTGCCAGCGGAGCCGGATCTGGGAATGGAGACATCACTGTCAAGAAAGAGAGAGAGACGTGATGGTGATTTCCATGGAAACCAAGTCCCAACACAGCAACAGGCAGGTCCCACAGACAGCTGACCAACCATTGTCTGAAGTTTGGCAGCATTATAAAAGCAGCTCTGGGTTCTGAATTTGGATGTTTGTTAATACTTCACTGTTAAATACATACATTATTAATTTAAATTGAATAAGTATTCCCATTATTATTTTATCAATATTTTTATCTGTATTTTTGTGCTGCAATTCTCCAGATTCATCATGCAGGCTGTTGCAGTTATTGGAATAACAAATCATATTAATAAATATTAAGTAGATGGTTGAAATTTAGAGCAGGAGGGAGATACAAAATGATCTATCAGGCAGCAAAGATGTTGTATGACAGCATCTTCTCAATAAGAAGCACTCAGTATTTTACAGGATAGTGTTGTCACTGTGTTTCTGTCCCATTAAATGCTGTTTATTTGTGTTTGCTTTTCGTCACCCCAGAGTCGTATCACAAACCAAAAGGAGATGTCTGCACTGGACTGTTGAGAGATCCAGAGGAGAGGCAACACAGCGACCCACAGTACAGAAAACCTCCATTACACAGGTCTTAACTCCACCTACTCATACCACCCAGTTTTATCAACATTATCAGACCTGTCTGACTGAAGTTGCAAAGCCTGTCTTTAGAAATGGTCATTCATTTTTATCAAATTCTACAGCTCTGATGTACAGAGAATGTGAAATAAAATTTCATGAATCATTTTAAATTACCCAGTGCATCCATTGCATTGCGAGCTTACCCTCATCTATGTTCACTTCAGCAAACAGCAGAGATCTTAGTAAAATAAAACCACAACTTTAGAGTCATAATCAAGTGTTTAAATTAAACTGGCCATCATGATGGACTGTTGGAACCAGATGTTCAGAACTAATCAACAGCTGAACAGTGGCTACTTCTGTAAAGTTAGTAGTAATTGTTGACACAACTGACCAAGCCCACAATGTCACTGGCACCTAGCCCCTGTTAGCAGCTGGAAATATATGGGCTGAAGCAACACATAAGACAACACCAGTTTTCAACAACTTTTCCACAAACAAAATCTCACACTATTAGAATCATTTGGAAGATGCTGCCATTGCATAAAAAATTCAAGATGCACTTTAAGACACAACCATAGCCAACAGGACTACGAGAGTTTGGCCAGTAGTGTATTAATCTACTATTGGCATTGGTTTTATTTGCTATGTAGAGGGCATAACTGCTGATGGTAGGTTGTTAGGTAACCTAACAGAGGGACGTTTACTGTTTTAATGACCTCTCAAACTCACAGAAATTAGCCATGGTGCAGTGTTTATTGTAATGGTACACTGAATATTTTGTTTGCACGGGAAAGCACAAAAGCTTGCTTCCACAGTTCCAACACAAACATTGAAATGCAGTAGCCACGGTTGTTATGTATCTTTTTCCTTGTTGATGAACAAACTGGTGACTGCCAGCATGCAGCAGGTGGTCAGATCTCAGACTGTTCGCTGTAAAATACAGGCTGTTCTGAGCCGAAACAAGTTGGAAATTATGTGTCTCAGACAAAATTCCATTTTCTCTGCCAATGCTGGGTATAAATTAAATATTTGTGCTTCTACAAATACAACTACAATAACAACTGACATAAAATTGACAGTTATGATGACAAAGTGTACCTTAAATTCTAAATACAGATTTATTGTCTTTTATTGTTTTATGACTGAGTCTGTGTCCTGGTGCACAATCAGATTTTGAAGTTTATTTTCAAACAAGTAGAAAAACTCTCCACTAAAACACCTAAACATGCAAACCGATGTGAGATGTGGACAGAGTGCCGGCAGTGACATTTCTCTGTACGTCTGTGCATTTGTTTTTCGTCAGCTTTAAGCGAAGCTGAAAGAAGAATGTTTGCTGTGTAAAAACGAGTCATCTGTCAGAGCATCAACCAGCCACAGAGACTCTGTGTATGACTGTATTTAAATGTCGCTTTCATATAAGATCCAGCCCAGCCTACGCTTTACCCCGAATGTATATGAAAAGATATCTATTGATAGACCTAGGACTATATTTTATACTAGAATGTTAAATGTTATATACTGTATAGACCTATGATAGTATGTATGTGCAATCCTTAGTCATAGTATATGCAACAGTTTGGAATATGTAATTAAAAATGATTGCATATAATTTCTTAAACCTTTTGTTTTTTAAAGTGAGAACCCACCTAAAAGCATAATGATTCATCTGTGATCCTGAAAGGTTCGATATCATTCATGAATGAGTTTCTCCGAAAACTAGAAACAAGACATCTTTTTCTATGGAATCAGTTTTAAAAAGTACATTTTCGGTTTTGAAGTGATCAGAGTTACAATGAAATGAATCTTATTTTGATTTAAACAAACAACCACACAAGTCTTTTGAGCTTGCTTTCCATTCATAGTCAATGGAACCAATGTGGATGACCATGCACACCTGTTTGTCACCTTTTTCAGACTTAGTTTGATAAACATGTTAAGGGATCAAATGTTCCTAAATTGAACAATCCAGCAGTTACACACTCACATGTTGAAAGTGATTAGTTTTTGGTGGATTCTCTCTTTATGTGCAGTATGTACTTGTCAGTACAGAAGCACAGACAAACCAAAGGTCATTTTATGCCCAAACTGATGTTTCTGGATGTAAATGTTTTATGGAAAAATAAATATATTGCTATATTTCTTGGCCAGGTGTTAACCTGTTTCCTTCATCAAGCCGTTACAGTTTACAGGCCCATGTGGTCTACTGTACTCATGGGATTTTACATATAAAAGTCTATTGTATTCAGCAGATGCTTATATAGGCCTTCTATATTGAGAGAATATCCCACAGATCAGGTCTGTTGTAGAGAAATGTCTTTGAAGAAGTGGAATTTAAGTTTAATATGCACTGATACATCATGCAATCCCTTGTTAAGTGCCTTTTTTAAAATGTTTACCGCCTGTTTGTGTGTCTGGGAACCTCAGGGGAAGTAGGAGTGCAATGGCTTTTTTATTGTCTAGTCAATGATTAACCTGAATCTGTTTCCCTTCAATCGCCATCAGACGTCTTTTGCTTTAATCTGAAGCCTTTGTAAAGTGGGTAGGCCATTCATTGTTTGGATATGGTCTCTCCTCGCCTCTCTCTCTATGTTGAGTTTCTTTTCATTTATGTGTTCTGTTTAGATCTGTTGGTTTTATTGCAGCTTCATGTACAAAATAGAAACCAGGAATAAATGGGATGGAAACTTGTACTTGTTTCTCTGTTTCTTGACTTTTATCAATGAGATTTAATCACCTTACATATCTTGTTTATGAGGAAAATCTCATCAGATATAACTAATTAGGTCCCCTCATAAACTTTTTATGACTGAATGTTGCTTAATGTTTGCCAGCTAAAATTATCTTCTCTCTCAACCAGCTCAGTTGATTCCTAACATAAGAGAAGGGCTGATTTTGTAATCGTGTACTATTACCTGTATTATTACTCAGGATACCAGCACACCAGTCAGCATCACTGCTACAGCGACAGCGGGTTTCTCACTACGACTGAGAACACATTGACGCTGCATCCTACAATTAAACATAAATTCACATGGTGGTTCTATATGACTGATGCAGGTGTGTTGAGAGTCAATACTTTTAAATTTGACACCAAAAATAAAAGCATATTTCTCCACCAGAATTATATTCCTGGCTTTAACGCCACATTTAGACCATGACGTAGAGAAAGTCAGATATTTTTCAGGGGTGTCGGGTTGTGTCTTGGGAATTTGGACTCATGACCTCAGCATTTGTAAAATCATGACTATAATGCAGCTTCTCCCTACAGCTGAGGACAAGATAACATTTAACACTGAGCCAGTCATTCACCTTAAAGATATCTTAACTAAATTATCTATTGTATTAATTGATTTAAATATACTACAAATACTTAGTTGATTATTTACATATAAATACAGGAGGTTATATTTATAACAATATATCACACACTTTGTTTCTAATCAAATCAAAATGTGTTTGTCCTCAGTGTGTCAGTCAGATTTAACTGAATTCATCATGTACAGGTACTTAAGCTTGCAATTAAAAGAATCTTTATGCTTAAACACTAATTTTGTAGATTTCTTCTTTTTAGCAGCCTCCGTGCTCTGAAAACCACCATAAGAACACAGAACAGGAGCATTCATGCACAACTGAAAATGAGTTCATGTGTGAGGTTAACCTTCATGTCTAGATTATGATCCAGCAGAATTTAGTTAACTCAAGAATTATGAGGCCTGTTCATTTAGTTTTACCTTGGCTAACAGAAAATAAACAAGAACCAAGCAAACCCTCCATAACAGACAAATGCAGATGATACAGGGGCTTGTTTTGTAGTGGCCACATGATGGCGCTCTTACACACTTAACCTCAGTGTGTGTGAAGGCGCAGATGCTGCTGGGCAAGTTCATAAATGTATCATCTTTTATCAGATGAAGGATATTATGACCTGTGGAGCCAACAAGCCGTGGAAGCCCTTATAATGACATTTAAACAGATGGAACTTAAAGAGCTTAAATATAATTATAACCCTCCCTCCCAAACACACACACACACACACACACACACACACAGATCAATCGACTTTAGCTTTTCAAATGTGAAACTAACCAGCCTCAAACCAACTCCATAATACTGTTTTTATTCGGTTTTTGTTTTTTTTTAAGTGGAATAGACTTGGGTAAAATGAGTCTTGCTGAAGCTGCTCATTTTTATTGTGAAGAAGAAGAGGATGGCGGGGGGCGTCCGGACTGTCGTTTCCTACATTAGTGTCAGCTCGTCACAGCCATTGTTAAACCAATTATAGAGGTGTTAATGGACGATAGAAGAGCCATTGGCATGAAAAACGGCCCGCAGAGAGACGATATGGATAAATGTGAGTTGGGGAAATAAAAGAGAGGAACCTTAAAGGAGCATTACACCAATCAAAGATGCGTATTAAGAGCCAAGGCTGAAGTGCATCCCTCAAACAAGTGTGTGTGGAAAATTAAAAAAAAAAATCAGATAAATAAAGCAGGGTGTGTTTGCTTTAATATTAGGGGAGCCTCCATGAGATGACAGTGTAATGATTATTGTACTGAGCGTGCAGTGAAACCAGCTCAGGACAAACCTCCAGCCAAAACAGCTGAGTCTGGGTTTCTGTCGTCAACCCAACGTGAATGTGACGCTGTATAACCTCAGGATATCAGATTTTCCAGCAGCACCTTAAAGCTGCAAAATTATTGCTGGAATATGTAAAGTTACTAGTGGAAAAGTAACAGCCTAATACACTGATCTCAGATGTCAACAAGGATCTTTTCATCTGTCCTCTTTCATTCATCTGAAGATCTACAACCTTCTGAAGGTCGCAGAGGTTCAGATATGACCTGAGATGCAGACCTCGAAGAATCTATTTATTCCCATGTGTTAGAAACTAGGATGATAAAATCATATACACATACAGGCCTGCACCGAATGACCTCCCCCTTTGTGGAGATGCAACGTCTTTGAATATGAGCACAGACTCGAGGTCAAAGTTTACCAAGCTTTTTTTTTTTTTTTTTTTATCTACAACTACATCACCGTGCAGATGAAATGAGCTAATCTCTTTCAGGCTTAATTACATCATTACAGACACTGAGGTGTTAGCTCACTCCACGTGTTAATCGACTTGACAGCCTTTTGCAAACAGGCGATAATCGCCGAGACTTTACAGGTGATGGTGAGTCTGATTGGCGATATATAGCCAATAAATTGTATCAGAGCTGCAGCTGCAATATCACCATGACTGACTTGGTTGTGGATATGAAGAAATAGGCGTCTAAATAAAGCCAAGTATCCCGAAGACGCAGTTTCCGTAAAGGCAACACAGCTAGCAGGTGGACGCCATCGTAAATGTTAACATCTGCAAAGTTGGCATTTTTCCCAAAGAACCTTCCACAGACATAAAATGTTTCCCCGACACTGAATCTGTTCTTTAACGCTCATACGTTCCTGCTTGTCTCTGCTGCATCTGCGCGCTGATATTCCTTCCTGTTATTTCTTATTTCCTCGGGAATCTTTTCTCACCGTCTAATCCCGTCGACCTCCCGCCTGCGCATCAATTACATCTCCATTGACTGGCCATTAGGCCTAGGCATTGACATTCACAGGCCTCCGTCTGCACCGAGGCCTGATGTGTATTCCACAACACAAGAGTCCGGCTCTATGCATTACACCAGGATTACATTATTTATTGTATTTCTCTAAGGCGTCGGGCCGCGAATGCCTCTTTGGAGGTTTAAAAAAAAAAAAAAAAAAAAAAAAAAAAAAAAGTAGCCTATCCAAGAAGTTCTCATGGGAAAAAGGGAGGAGGACAACGCATTTAACCGAGCCGAATCTACGCACAGACTGCGCACGAGTTGATCCAGTTGAGCAAAATCCAACTGATCAAATTGCTGATCTTTTTGTAGCATGTAGAGCTTCAGTGCAAGTGATGATGAATAATAGCTCTGTAGCTATAGGCTGCTCAGAGCATTCGTTTACGCAGCATTTACGCATGAGCAAATACTTGGTCTGTTTGTCCTGTACGTTTTGATATTGATCTTATTCACCAGATTGTTTTGGTACAGCGGTGTAACACCCATAGATGACTAAAGTCCGTTTTGAATGACCCCGGGAAGGTCCGCGAGTGTGGTGGTGGGGTCTCAAAGGCGGTTTGCCGTTTCTGATTAGGATCTCTGATGATCTGATATTCTCCTTTTGATAGTCAAATATTCTCCTGGTGGTCGTGGGTTTATTTTCATGACTATCGGGAAATATTTGACTATCAAAACCAAGAATCTGAATTAAGTTCGGCAGTTATTACAATTAAGCCCCCCGAGGAAGTGTTAGAAGGTCCACAGCCCCAGAGAAGTGATAGCCGAGGGAATTAACAACCTTCACGCCCCGCAACACACACACACACACACACACACACACACACACACACACACACACACACACACACACACACACACACACACACGTCACAAAACGGACTCCCCACCCTAATTCCACTCCTTCAATCTCCAATATTTATTTGCAAATCAAATCAAATATTCTGCTGATCAAGTATAATTTCACTTTGTCAAGTGCAGGGGGGGGGGGGGGATCTGTTTCTGTGACAGAAACAGATCACTTAAGAAGGAAAAAAAATGAAGTAAGAGTTTTTTTAAACTTAAAACGTATTTTTGTAATAGCACTAGCTGCTTTGTAGCTAAACTCTTTAATCTTAATGTCATGTTTATTGTGAGTCTATATAGATATTTTTCATGCTAGTTGTCAGTGCTAATGTTTTAACAGTTAGCTGTAAAGTAAGATAATCCATGGATACAGGAGTCACACACACACACACACACACACACACACACACACACACACAAACATACATACATGTTCAGCTGTTGAGGCTGGTGAACATTTGCAGATTTTGTTCAGTTTTATCATGTTCAAATGTCGTATCACTACTAACATACATGGTTGTCTCTCTCTCTCTCACACTAACACACACATACACACACACTCACACTCACACACACCAATTATGTTCAAAAGTCAAGTGTTGAATAAAAAAGTTTTTTGTCATAATCCTTATGTCATGTTACATTTCAGCTCAGTGTATGTTAGAAGTAACCAGGACTATGAGGTGAATTGTAACATTCTTGTGTTTGAGACTAAACCAGACATTTTTGTTTGTGTTGCAGAGATAGCGCCTACACCATTTAATACCGGACACGTGTAACTAGTTTGTATTAAATTTTTTAACAAAAGATCTCCGATATACAGACAGAAATGTCAAGTGTCAGAACCACCCCATTTCTCCCCTGTGTTGATTTTTAATTCTGAAAACTGCAGAAAAATAAGACATAATTTAAGAAAAAATGAATTTGAATCAGTCGTTTTAAGTTTAAAAAGAAGCACGTGACTGCATTATGGGCAAATTCTGTCATTTATTTATAGAAGAAATACATATGTCTCATAGCTGCAGATTGATAATCACCTTCTGACCATATAACACCTCACTCTTATGAACTTCACTGAAACTTAAATATAAACCCACTCAGCTCTGAGACACAGAGACTGTGGGATAGTCATTCGTCCGGGTGGCCCCGCGTGTAGCCGCCGGCCCAATATACAGCACGCCAGGGGGCCACATCGGCCTTTTTGCAGGGCCCTTCCTGGATCCTAACACGGTATTCAAATGTCAGGATCGGGGCGGGACCCGTCGGCACCTTATAATAGGAGGGCGTCCAGGTTTCTCTACTGTATTTGCGCGCTTCACCTCTGCCTGCTTCCCGAGGCCCCGGTGCACAGAAGAAAACGGGCCAGAAGTAGAAGAAGAAGAAGTCAACATCTGCTGAGCCATAACAAGATTAAGGTTATGAAACAATGGATGACTGACAAATAAGAAATATTGACTTTAGCTACTATTCCCAGGAGCGCAGCGTCACTTCACTATTTGACTTCGTTTTCCTCACACATTTTTGGCTCGAGATCTTTTCTGCCTGCTTCTTGGCAAACGGAAACAATTTTATGTTTGGATTTTTCCCCGAAAACTTCAAATTTTGAGAAGGATTTTATATTTATTTTGATTTTTTTTCCCCCCAAAAAAACTCCGGTCATAGACAAGAATTCTCCTCCAGAGGTTTGAGTTGGGGATGTTGAGCTCTGTGAAGATGGAAACCCATGATCTACCAGAGTGGAATACTTTCTACAGCGAGGCCAGTGAGGTAAGGACGCATTCACAAATAAAAATAACAATATGTGAATCACTTATTTCTTCCTGATGTAAACAGCGGGACGTGTCTCAGTTTCTTCTTGGATTCAAGTGAGAACGTAACGACAGATTTTTACTTGTGCACATTTTCAGTAAGAACCGAAAAAAAAAAAATCTGTAATTTGATCACATGATCAAATATAAGAAAAACTTTACATTAAAATCATGAGCTTCTATGTACTATCTATCGTGGAGTACCATAAGAATTAAAATAACTTTAAAGTATGACAGAGTAATATTGAGTATCAAAGCGCACTTTGAAACTGTCGAGACATTCTGGTAACAAGAGAAAAACAGCAACAAAAGTAGAAAAAGTCTTAATAAATTCTTCTGTAAAAATAAAAATAAATATATTAGGCTAAATAAATAATATTGAAAAACAAAACATTTTCAGTAACAGTCTTTTTCAAACATCTGAAGCCACTAAAACAATGACGTCCACTTTAAATGTTTTATCTAATTACTAATAAATGTGATACAAGTTGAATTATAAACATTCAGGCCATAAACTGCGCATTAAACACTTTTTTGTGAAAGATGTTTGCTCATCAATCGGCCTTCTTCTTCCTCCTTTGTGTCTCCTCCAGTGTTGCGACAATTCAGGTGTAAATGTGACAAGACCTCTTTTTTTTTCTCACTAATTGAATTAGAGTTAATTCTATCAGCAGCTTCAGTTCTCACCTCACCTCGACCTGATGAAATTACCGAGAAGAAAAGGTCTGATAATATTTAACCAAAGGATCAGTCGGCGGCTCCAGACGCCTTCTGAACTCGTGGAGTTTTTATTTCGCATATTAAATACTTTTTGAGATTTCACGAGAAAAAAAGAAAAAAAAAGAAATTGAAATTGAATTATTCATCTTTGTCAGCCAGAATAAATAAATTCCTCCACTTTAGCCTAAATACTGAGCAGCTTGTTTTTTGCACGGAGCGGTGGAGGAGGCCGTGTGAACTGAGAGGCACCATGACGCGCTTTTTACGCATTTTCAGGTTAACATCGCTGTGTGAAATCCATGTCCTCTCTGCGCGCACTGAGAGCTTCATTGTGCATTGATAAGGAGTCACTTTTTTAAACGGAGAGTCAGACCGCTTTCCCCTCACACCCTGCATTCATTTAACGGAGAAAAATTAAAAACCAAATCATCACAACAGAGCTGTTCATGGTATTTGTTTTCAAAAGGTAAAAAACTAAATGTGTCAACTGATTATATTTTATTATCTAAAGTAGCTGTAATCTTTGATGTATAATGTGTGTGTGTGTGCACTGATATTTCCTCTGTGTTTTCGCTTGTTAATAACCAGATGTTGTTGTGTTCCTCTTTTTCTCCAGATGTATTCCTCTCCCAGCACTATGAACTCTGGTCTGGGCTCCATGGGCTCCATGGGCACCATCAACAGCTACATCAACCTGAACCCAGCCACCGCCTCCCCTGCAGGTATGAACATGGCGTACCCCAGCTCCAGCCTCAGCAGTTCCCCACTCGCCTCCATGGGCTCCGGGCCCGGCCACATGTCCCTCTCCCCGGTGGCCTCGTCCCTCAGCTCGAGCTCTCTCACTCAGCTGGGCCCCGCTGCTCCCAGCGCCCTCGGCTCCTTGTCCCACTACCAGAACATGGGCCAGTCCATGAGCCAACTGGGATACCCCTCCACTGCGACCCTGAGCCGGGCTGGGCCCAAGGAGATCCCCCCTAAGCCCTACCGACGCTCCCTGACCCACGCCAAGCCACCGTACTCATACATCTCCCTCATCACCATGGCGATCCAGCAGAGCGGCAGCAAGATGCTCACCCTGAACGAGATCTACCAGTGGATCATGGACCTGTTCCCCTACTACCGTGAGAACCAGCAGCGCTGGCAAAACTCCATCCGCCACTCGCTCTCCTTCAACGACTGCTTTGTGAAGGTGGCTCGCTCACCAGACAAGCCCGGTAAAGGTTCTTACTGGACTCTGCACCCACAGTCAGGCAACATGTTTGAGAACGGCTGCTACCTGCGGCGCCAGAAACGCTTCAAGATCGAGGACAAGATGGCAAAGAAAGGAGGCAAGAGCCAGGAGGTGGGCTCAGGGAAAGGAGGCCACAGTGATCACCTGGTGGAGGATCGCAGCCCCACGGGAGGATCAGAGGGAGCCGACTCCGCCCACTCAGACAACTCCCACCCGGGCTCTTCGGATGACCAGCCGCTTCCTCGAAACTCCCTGGTTCCACTAGACTGCCCTCAGCTGTCCTCCTCACACCTCCACAGCCCGCCCGTCTCCCTGCCTCCCCCCTCCTCCACCTCATCCTCCATCCCTCCATCCTCCTTGTCCCTCTCCGCCACCTCCTCCTCCAACCAGCTCCTCCACTCCCAGTCTTTAGTGGGTAGCACCCACCTCCTGCCCGGCGCCATGCAGCAGCACATGGACCTACAGAGCGACGCCCTCAAGTCCCTGGACCCCCACTACAACTTCAACCACCCCTTCTCCATCACCAACCTCATGTCCAACGAGCAGAAGATGGACCTCAAGTCCTACCAGGACCAGGTGATGGCCTACAACAGCTACGCCAGTGGCTCTCCTGTGGGAGCCAAGCAGATCTACGACAGCCCCGGGCCGGCCGCCATGGACTCAGGTGCTTATTACCAAACTCTGTACAGCCGCTCGGTGCTCAACGCCTCTTAATATGGACACCCACCCACACACACACACACACAAACACACACACCTGCCTGTAAAGGTGAGCCAAAATGGAGACTTCTCTTCCTCTCTGCCTTTACTAAAATGGACACCCAAGGTCTCTTTATCTTCGTCTTTCTTCCTCTCTCTCCCTCTCTGGCTCACATCCAGCGGCCTTGGAAGAGACTCACATCTAAAATGGCCGCCATGTTTGAGGGACCAAAGGACAGTTTTTCTTTCCTTTTACCAGCTCTGATGAGCATGGAGGCTGGGTTGGTTACATGGAGGACAGAAAAGTGAAGCTGGATGATTAACTGATGATGAAGACGTTTGACTCGTCTGTGTGTGTGAGTCAGTGCAGATGTCAGATCCCGTCTTTGCCGGCAAAATTGGCTTTGTACAAAATGTAAATAGAGCTAATGTTGGGGGGGAAAGGATATTTGCATTTATTTATGAAGGGAATAAATTTTAATATATCTTGTATAGCGCTCTGTCGACCAGTTACAACCCAAATGTGAGGTTTTTTTTTTTTTTTTTTAAACCAAAGACGGAGAGTTTCAGGTTACTGCTTCAGGCAGGTGTTACTGCAGCGGGAGACAGTTTAGTACATTTCTTCTTTATTGCGTGTGTTACAGCATTTCAACATTACGTTCCGTCATTTCTGTCAGATCAGGCATCCGTCAATGTAAATGTAGCTCATGAGGTCTGTAAAAAAATATATTTGTAGTTTTGTTTGATATGAAGTTTAAAAAAAAAAAAAAAGAAGGCATTTGGTCCTCGCTGCAGCACAGAGGACACAGACATTAAGAAAAATCTTCTGAGGCCAGAAAGAAAGAGACAAAGTAACTGTGGTAAAAAAAAAAAAAAAAAAAAAAACTAAAAAGAAAAAAAGCATATTGTGTTTCTGTTTTTCATGGCCCCAAATCATTTCCTGTTGTTACCTATATAAGAGCATTAAAATTAAATGCTTTTCCACAGACTGTAACATGACTGGCAGACAGCTGCGGTGCATAGGGGAGTTCAGTCAATGACTAAAACAGTGGAAAGGGAGGAGAGATGCACTATGGGAGGATTTACATACAGTACTTTGCACTATGGAGCTCCCATTGGTCAGGTGGGCTGATAGTGTGTGTGTTACAACAATACTTAGGAACCCCCCCCCCTACACTGTCAATGCATCAGCTCAATGGGATCAGTGTATCAATGTCAAAGGGTGTCAAATAACCCCTCGCTCCTTTTCTTCAAATGACTGCTGATCTGATAAGAGATCAATGTATCAATAATGTTTAGAAGGATTATTCTGATGAACAGCAGAGGACGCAGAAGTTTCAGGTCACATGACGTCCTCTGTGGAGCTTATATTATAGTTTCAAAGAGAAATGTCTTTTATTTAAGCTATGTTCCTTTTCAAAACCTTGAAAGTGTGCTGATATAATATATTGTTTTTTGTTGTTGTTGGTTTAAATGTGATTTAAATGATTCATGTTTCATTTTTCTTATTAAAAAGGCAAAAAATGTGGGAAGAAATGGTGCATTTGTTTTTCTTTTTCCACCAGTGTTAATGCAGGAAGTGTTTGTTGTCACCATGGATACAAGTAAAAAGTAAAAAGTAAATCAAACACTGAAAGATGTTCGACATTCAGAGTTAAAATCCCGTCTTTTTTCAAAGGGACGGGTTATATCTGTTTCACAGGCTCAGTTTGTTTCTAAGAATTTTCAAAAAATCATTAAGACTGTCAGGATTTTATATAGGAATAAAATACAGTAAAAAAAAAAAAAAGGATTAGTCATTTGCTAGAAATATTTTACCAAATTACTTTTCACCTGTCCACAAACAGTTTTAAAAAGCAGTCAATGAAACAAAATCTGCAGCAACAAGTGATTCTACTTAAAACCACGAAGATGGAAGTTTCTGGATCACGCAGTGTTATTGGCAGGACCTCGACGGCTCGTCCCGCTCAATCAATCCCCGGCTGGTGAGGCGGTGCTGCAGGAATAGCAGTGCCTTGTTGAAACAGCTCCTGACCAAATGACTGTGGTGTGTGACATGTAGGACTGGTAGACTAAACACGGCTGGATCACACTGAGAGCCTCAAAGCGGACCTCTGCACAGGCCATCAGCCCTGGCGGGGGGGCAAAATCACACACACACACACACACACACACACAACACACACACACAACACACACACACAACCAACACACACACACACACACACACACACACACACACACACACACACACACACACACACACCACAGCAAGACCGGGACCACTCCAAAATCTACTGACCTGCCTCTGACCCTGAACTAGAAAAACGATCAGCAAGTCAACAAAACAAAAACAGGGAGAAAGTATCAGCAGAATATTTTTTCTCTTTAATCCTCACTGTGTCTTCTCGGCCTCGACCAATCAGATCCTTCTGTGTGTATCCCTAACAAACTATAGACATGGAATTTATCAATTCCTTTACATGTCAGAGAAGTTTTCCGAACTAAGCAGCAGCTGAAGTATGGAAACCTGCTGAATCACTGTGGTATAATGTCAAGAAAACAAGAAGGAGCATTGATACGTATGAAAAAACTGATGATTGAAAAATGCTGTGGAGTTCGCATGAAGTAACTCAAGTGACACATTGATGCTTCTTTGCCTTTACATCTGCAGGAACATAAAAAAAGTTCATTTATTGATCTTGGTTCCTGCAGCCATCCTGCTTCCGTGTCCCGTCGCCAGGCCTCCTGTCTACCTGTCTGCAGGTCTAACTGTCTGTCTGCAGGTCTACCTGACTGTCTGCAGGTCTCTGCTCACAGTTGCTTAACCCTGTGTTGTCAGACTTGTCACGTATGTGTCACTGCCTTTTCTTCTCTGTCACGTCAAGCCCAGCAACCATAAGCCCTGAGGCTTCAAACATATAGACTGCAGCGATGCACAAACACACACACACACACACACACACACGAAACATGTTTGCCTAATTTCAGTTTCGATCAATGAGCCCAGGATGCTAAAGAACACATAATGGTCCTGTTGCTGTAGGAACTAATTCTTCTGATTATTTTCTCCTTTTTATGATATGAGATCAATATATGGGCTTCAAAAGGCAACACACACACACACACACACACACATATTAAAAAAAATGGTAACTGGCTTATAGTGAGTGGGAATCTAAGGCAGTTCGTCACCTTGCATACACAATAGTCCCTTCACAGCAGTTGGCTTGATAAGATAGGCAAGCACCCGCCTGATATGGTCTCCACAGCTACAAAGACAAAGTCTCACACACACACTTTTGCACATGCACATGCATCCACGCACGCACACACACACACACACACACACACACACACACACGCACGCACGCACGCACACTCACACACACACACTTGACTGCTCCAGGTATGACTAACCTGCCTGACTCTAAAATGTCACTCTGATACGTCCCCTCGCAGCAATCAGGTGACCACGCTGATAGTGGATAGTGGTCCCATTCGATCCAGGCTTCATGAAGGAAAACAGATTAGTCTGAGCACAGATAACACACTGTGGCTTGAGGTTTTTCAGGGAGCAACAATGCAGCAGTTAGACTGGAACAATTTCAGCCACAAAGGGGGAAGAAAAAAAACTCAAGTGTGACCCTTACATTTGTAACCTCTCGGTTGTAATCTGTAACCCTCGGCTGACCCAGTTTCCAAATGCGAGACTCTTAGAAAATAGATACCAGCAGCTGATAACAGTCTCGATGTCACAATAAAATAATCTCCTCTCTCAAACGGCCATGATAGCCTCAGTTTCTGGGATTAGCTTCTTTTCCGTACATTGTTGTGCAGAAATCAGTCATGTTCTTCATAAATGTAAAGACTTAAAATGATGTTTTGGAGGATGTAACACACACTGTGTGAGTATGGGAAGGAAAAATACAGACACTTTTCACCAAATCACAGCGTAATGATGCTGTTTTTTCCATCGGCATCACTTACTTTACTGCATAAGAGAAACTGGTATGAACTAACACTAAAGGTATAAAGTCCTACACTACAGTTTAAAGGAACACGTGGGCACCTGTTGCTTGAGTTGTGAGACAAATGGATTTGACATTGATTATTTAGAAATGAATACATTGTCTGCAGATTCTGGTCCAGGAGAGAGCGGACTGGAGGATATATGAGAGCTGATCACAGGATGTGAACAAAGTGGATGTCTTTGCAGGAGTAAAGTCTGGGGGTGAAAAACGTTACGGTTATAGATTGATCAGGTTAAAAATGACTTTTTTGGGGTTAAAGAAAGATCACAGTTGCTTCTCTACAGGTCCAGACCAACCTGTTTCTCCCAGTTTGACTTTCTCTGTTCACTTGTTCTGCATTTTTGACTTTTTGTGGATAAGTCCCAGGTTTTTTCTGTGAGAACAATAAATACAAAACCAGTGTCCACATCAGTTCAGCTGCAGCTATTGATAAACTGGCTCAAGAGGAGCAGCCACACTGATACTGGATGAGGTTGGGGAAAGGGCTTGTGGTTATAGCTAATAAACTATGGTTAAGGTGTGGTTGGGGTTACGCAACTAAAATGTGATTACAGATAATAAAAACCAAATTTAAAAAAGTAAATTGAAGATCTGCGACGGGATGCAACCTCCAACAGAGGCAGACTTTCTGCCTCACTACATGAAGGGGACACGAGTTCCTGCAGTGGCAATGAACTTTGGACGTAAATCACGAGGTGCAGAATCATCCAAAATAGATACTGGGCCTCAGAGCTGCCACAGGTTCCATAAGCTTTAATAAAAAACTGCTCATCAAACTTCTACATGATCAAACTGAACTGGAAGCAAAATCAATACCAATATGATTCACTTGGCTTTTAATTTTACTCAAATTATTTTCTCAGGTTCAGTGAGAATTACTCATGTTTACTCCAGATTTAAAAGAAACCCTTTTGTTTATTTAGTTTTTATAAACAACATTCACATTTTTCACAGTGGTAGTTTTTCCAGTAATCTAATAAGATGACAGAAGACAGTGTGAAACCTGAAGATAAGAAGCTTTTTGAGCTCTGAAAGAAGCTTTAAAAGCCAAAGACGTGTGTGAGGGTGACGCTGTTGTCATGTTCAGTAAAAAGGATATTTGTCTCCTGAGGTGCAACAGTCACTCGGTTCGCCCAGTTGAACACTTGATGACAGCTGAACTCAGGCTGCACTGCTGGTGACAGCAAATGCAGTGTGTAGGCCGGCGAGCATGACACCTGCACAAAGAGGGTCTGTGCTGAAATGAAAGCGCTTCATGCAAAAAAATAAGACGTATTTTCTGCTGCTGCGGGAGTTTACGTCTAAACTTCATTTCAATATATTCTAGCTGCTGGGATCTCTGTGATGCTTTGAAACGCTGCACGTCGGCCAAACACACTTACACTTCCAAACAAATGTCACAGGAACTGATGATGAACTTAGACTGAAAAATGAACGAAGAACATACTCAGGTTCTCATGATTTAACAAAGTGGCATTCATGTGCTTCACTGTGAACACGTGTGATGAGGAGTTTTCCATTTAACAGGTGGTTTATTCGAGGAAAAGAAAGAAAGAAAGAACGAAAGACAGAAAGACAGAGAGAAAGAACGAAAGAACGAAAGAATGAAAGAAAGAAAGAAAGAAAGAAAGAAAGAAAAAGGGTGGTGCATGTTTTCAAGATGTGCAATGCAAATGAGGCAGTGCATCCTGGATCCTGTTAGGTGGATATACTGTTTACATTTGTTATTGCCTGAGGAGAGGGAGGGAGAGAGAGAAAGAGAGAGGGAGAGAGAGAGAGGGAGAGAGAGAGAGAGAGGGAGAGAGAGAAGGGGGGGGGGCA